GGTCCGGGGGCGGCACCGGGGGTGGGACCGGGCCGGGGACCGGGTCGGGGGGCGAGGGGGCCGAGGAGAAGCGCGGGGGCCGCCGCTTGCCGCTGTTCCGGCGTGCACCGCGCTGTCATGGCGGCGGCGGGGTGGTCCCGGTGTGATGGCGGCGGTGGAGGGTGGAGGGTGCAGGGGGGTCTCTCGCCCCGTTTCCCCCCCGCCGGTGCTGACCCGGACGCCGTTTCGTTGCAGGTTCATGGACAAGAAGCTGTCATGTGAGTCCCGTGGCTGATCCCGCCCCCGCGGGGGGAACGGGACCCCTGCCCCCCCCGCTCCCCCTGTGGTGCCGTTTTGGGGACCCCCCCGGCCCCTCTGCCGCTCACGGTGCCCGGGAAGTGCCCCCTGCCTCGCTCCCCCTCATGGCCCCTGGTATGAGGGCCCTCCACCCACGCCTGTCCCCTGCACGGCCCCTGATTTTGGGGACCCCCTCACAGTGCCCAGGGAGGGGGGTCCTGCCCAGCACAGACCAGACCCCCCTGGAGCAGACCCTGCCTAATTTCAGGCTTCACAATCCACTCATTTAAATAAAAATCCATTGAAGTTACAACCCATTAAGACCTAATCCAAAAATTTAAGTATAATATTAATTTAAAACTCCCTTTTTCTCCCTCTCTCCTCTCACCCCCTCAACGGGCTGCACTAAACCCTTCCCATTAACACCCCCCACACACGTGTCCTGCCCCTCCCGAGCTGCGGTTTTGGGGTGAATCCCTCCTGTTTTGGGGTTTGCCCTCCCCTAACCCCCCTGGGTTCCCCGCAGTGAAGCTGAACGGGGGCCGGCACGTGCAGGGGATCCTGAGGGGCTTCGACCCCTTCATGAACCTGGTCATCGACGAGTGCGTGGAGATGGCGCCGGGCGGGCAGCAGAACAACATCGGCATGGTGGTGAGTGCACTGGGGGCACTGGGACGGACTGGTGGGCACAGACATGGCCGGCGTGGGCAGAGCAAGGGACAGGTGTGGGATGTGTCAGCCTGGGCTTTACAAAGCTTTGGATGCCGTCTCCATCCTGGAGAAGATGCTTGGAGAAGGTGAACTCTTGGCTGGGAAACAGCTGGATGGGTGGATGGGACCAGGGATTGTTGGGAATGGGGCCACATCCAGCAGTGCTGGGCACCAGTGAATCCCCAGGGCTCAGGACTGGCCCCAGACCATTTATTGATGATCTGGGTGAGGGGATCAAGTGACTGTCAGTAACTGTGGGTGAGACCAAGTTGGGTGGGATGTGGATCTGCTGGAAGTGGGATGTGGATCTGCTGGGGAAGGGTTGGAGCATCAGGAATGGCTGAGGGAGCTGGGGGGGCTCATCCTGGAGAAAAGGAGGCTCAGGGGGGACCTTCCCACTCTCTGCAACTCCCTGAGGGGGAGCTGGGGGGGTCGGGCTCTGCTCCCAGGGAACAAGAGACAAGACACGGGGAAATGGCCTCAAGCTGTGCCAGGGGAGGATCAGGTTGGATATTGGGAAAATTCCTTCATGGAGAGGGTGGTTAAACATTGGAACTGCCCGGGGAGGTTTGGAGTCCCCACCCCTGGAGGTGTCCAGGGAAGGCCTGGCCGTGGCACTCCGTGCTCTGGGCTGGGGGACAAGGTGGGCATCGGGCACAGGGTGCACTCGATGACTCTGAAAGTCTTTTCCAACCTCAGTGATTCTGGGATTCTGTGATCTCTGGGGGCTTAGGGTTAAAATCAGTTTTCATCCTTGGGGGCAACTCTGGTGAATTTGTGAAGGATCAGCATTTTGGGGAAATAATTTTGAGGGAAGGACCCTCAAATTTGAGGTCACAACTGCTGCACTCTCAACTTTCCCCTTCCAGGTGATCCGAGGGAACAGCATCATCATGCTGGAAGCTTTGGAACGAGTATAACTCTGGAAAAACCCGAATCCCAACCCACCGGTGCTGTTCCCTCCCCCAGGATGATGCCCACGAGGATACAACTATTTTGTTTTGTTTTAAAATAAATTTTGTAATGGTTGACATAACTCATCCTTACATCATTTTTTGCCAGCTGGGTGTTAATTCCACTCCCAATCTCAGGAAGACTTTAAAGGACGCTGAATTTATTGAAGAGGGTGTTAAATTTGTGCTACTTCTGGTGTTATTCATGTTATTTCATGACCTTAAAAAACGTTCAGGCCATGAAATTCCTTATTAACTCCTTCACACCCCGATACAGCGATGGATATTTGTGGTTTTCCTTCTTTCCCACCCATTTTGGCAGCTCGCAGCACACAAGTCCCCCTCCCATAAGCAGTTTGGGAAGCTAATTAAACCTCAGTTTCCACCCTGAGGAATAATTACTTGGTAGACACTTTGGAAAGTAGCTGAGGCAGAGAGATGGACAGTCAAGGAGTGGATATTCCAAGCTGGAGAAGGGATATCACAGGGTTATCAGAATAGGGATAGGGATATCAGCAGGGCTTCACAGTGATCCTGAGCTGGGAGGGAACTTTTGGCGTCAATATGGCACTTTTGGGGTCAATGTGGCACTTTGAATGACTTCTCTAATCTCAGACAGGGATAGCTGGAGGAGTTTGAGGAAAAGGCATTTGCTTGGGGAAAACGTGCTGGCTCGCTTGGGAATGCCTCCTGTGCCACTTCACCCCTGTCCTGCCCCCTCTTGGGTTGGCCAAATGGCCTCAAGTTGCACCACGGGAGGTTTAGGTTGGATATGAGGAAAATTTTCTTCATGGAAGGGGTTGTTCAGCCCTGGAAGCGTTCAGAAACCATGTGGATGTGGCATAATTAGTGGTGACCATGGTGGTGGGGTTGGGTTGACGCTGGACTCAGTGGTCTTGAAGGTCTTTCCCAGAGGGGTGACCATGGTGGTGGTGTTGGACTTGATGCTCCTGAAGGTCTTTCCCATGGTGGTGGTGTTGTCAGATGTTGGACTCGATGACCTTAAAAGCCTTTTCCAAACCTATCCCACAGTTCTACAGAACACCCTGGGTGGGCTCAGCAGGGAGCTCCTGTTCGTTAGCGTTAATGAACCCCACGGCCCCCCCTCCCCGGGGGGTCAGAGCTCCGTTTTGAGCTTCTCGTGCAGGCCCTCCTGGTCGATCCTGTCGGAGTGGCCGTGCCAGCGGTGGAAGGCGAGGAGGGCGGCGTTCCTGGCGGCGATGGCACACATCTCCATGGCGCTGGCCGCCCGCTCCAGCCCGTTCAGGTAGTACACGTGGTCGTGCAGGATGATGGGGGGGCATTTCTCGGGAGGGCTGTACTGGGGATACGCCAACCACGACTTCACCTTGACCGAGTCGTACGAGGAGAACAGCAGGGTGAGCTGCTCCTTGGTGAGCACTTCGTTGGAAAATATCTTCCAGATGGCTGATTCCAACGGTAGCTTCCCGTCCCCAGTGGCGTCCCCCACGGGGTGCACCACCCCCAGGCTGTTGATGAACAGCTTGGGGTTCTCCGTGGTGAAGATGCCGCTCAAATGAAAGGCCTGTGGGTCCTGGTAGCCAAAGAAAGAGGTGTTTAACCGCCCGTGCACCAGGGTGGTGACAGTCTGGTGGTAGGGATTTGGGAATTCCGGGACGGGAGGGTCGAAGTTCTTGAAGGTGATGTTGGCCATGCTGCGGCCCAGCGGAGCAGCGATGATGACCATGTCGTACGTGTCCCCTGTCAGCCCTGAGGACGTGTTGTAGGTGACCTGGTACAGCTTCACGGGATCCCCTGCAGAGAACACCTCAGTTATCCCACCTCCTGACAGGAGGGAATCCCATTTTTCCCATTTGGGTTTAGAGTACCAGCTTAGCTGTCAGCTGGGTTTTGAGTCCTGTTTACATGGAATCATGGAATGGTTTGGGTTAACAGGGATCTTAAAGCCCATCCAGTCCCACCCCCTGACATGGGCAGAGACACTTTCCACTATCCCAGTTTGCTCCAAGCCCCGTCCAAGCTGGCCTTGGACACTTCCATGGATGGGGCAGCCACAGCTTCTCTAGGAATTCCATCCCAGCCCCTCCCCACCCTCCCAGGGAAGAATTTTCATCCTGAAAGCCCAAGGAGCTGCAGCCATGGGGCTGAGGGTGGTCTCCAGTGTTGCCATTCCCCTCCCCACTGAGAGAAATCCACCCCAACTCACCACTGGGCCTGGGTCTGATTTTTGGCTCTATGGACACAACTGTTCCGGGGATAACATCAGCCTTGGAGGCATAGAGGAGGCCGGGGCAGACGAGTTTGTTCCCCCCTTTCACAGACCAAAGACCTGACTGCACCCCAGCCAGAGAAACAGCACCTGCAAGGAAACCACCATTGTTTGGTGTCATTGTGTAGGGAAGCACTGGAAAGGCAAAGCGGAGAATTAGGGGGGATAAATATCCCTTTGAGGCTCAGCTTGGAGTCCAGGGAGCAGGAATCCCAACACCCGTGAAGAGCATGAGGTCCCTGGGACAGCCAGGATGGGAGACTGACCTCCAAAACACTCACCTACAAAGGCATTGATGTTGACTCCTTGCCCATAGTTAACCCTCATGACCGGACAGATGACCTCGTTGATGAATTTTTGGGAGAACCCCGCTCTCTGCAGGGCCTCGTCGATGCTCTGGTTCAGCATCCGCATGAAGTCGTCCCCTCCCAGGGCGTGCACCAGCTGCTCATTGCTGCTGAAGGCGTAGTCGTGCATCTGGTAGCGATAGATCCTTTAATTGGAGACAAGGAATTCATTATTAATTATCTCTGTGGCTCTGGGAAGCTGTTGGGGATCTCATGATGTAGCTCCCAGCCCTTCATAGGAGCAGCAGGACAAGGGCCTGGAGGGACAGGACAAAGAGGGGAGGTTTAGGTTGGGTATAAGGAATTTTTTTATGATGAGGGTGGTGAGGCCCTGGCACAGGTTGCCCAGAGAAGCTGTGGCTGCCCCATGCCTGGAAGTGTCCAAGGCCAGGTTGGACGGGGCTTGGAGCAACCTGGGATAGTGGAAGGTGTCCCTTGGATGGTTTTTCCATCTTTTTCGCACTTTTCCCCTTTGAGGGCCCAACATACCTCATGAACTTGTCCAGGATGTCCTCCACCCACATGGACATGCGCAGGGGGTTGAGCCCATAGTGCCAGAGCTGCTTGAGGAGGTTGATGATGTACCAGCTGCTCTCCTCAAACACAAACTCCTCCCCGTTGTAAACGCCAGCGAGGCTGCCCGGGACTGGGGCGGCTGAGAGGCCTTCAGGAAAAGGGGTGGAAAACATTAATTTAGGGAAAGGAAGAGCTCTTACACTTTGATTTTTACCTTCCTGAGACAACCTGGCTTTGCGTTGATAAGGGTGAGTGACGAGATTGGATTATTCCCAAGGGATGGAAAGGGGAGTTAGCTCTTGACAAGGAGCCAGGGAGTGATCTGAGGTGACTTTTGGACCTTTATTAAGGCATTAATGGGTCACCCATGGGAAGGGGGTGTCCCATTTCCATTGGGATGTGGGTTTCCTTTGCCTGGAGGGGGGCTGGGGTACCACAGGGGCTATAGGGAGAAGATATGGGGGGGCTATTGGGGAAAGACATGGAGGGGATATTGGGGAAAGAAGGGGGACCATTAGGGAGGGATATGAAGGGCTATTTGGGAAGGGAAGGAGGGCTCTTGGGAAGGATATGGGGGGCTATTGAGGAAGAAACGGGGACTGCTGGGGAAGGACATGAGGGGGATTTGGGAAAAGAAGGGGGACTGCTGGGGAAGGATATGGGGGGGATATTGGGAAAAGAAGAAAGAGGGAGACTATTGAGGAAGGACATGGAAGGCTATTTGGGAAAGGAAGGAAGGCTCTCGGGAAGGATATGGATAGGCTGCTGGAGAAGAAAGGAGGGCAACCAAGACTTGTTCTTTAGAGGGATGTCCCCCAGCAGAGTGGGATCCAGAGCATGCCAGGGGGATGATTTTGGGACCAAGGGATGATTTGAGGGCTGGAGGACACTGTGACTGGGGATCCCCACTCACCCAATTCCTTGACAAAGTGCTTCATGTGCAGGTTGAGGGGGTGGATGATGGACCCCCCGGCCTCGTAGGCGGCCCCCTCGACGTCCATCGTGGCCAGCCGGCCGCCCACCGCCGCCTTCTCCAGCACGTCCAGCCGCACGCCCGGGCCGAACTTCTGCCGCAGGAAATACGCGGCGGCCGAGCCGCCGATCCCGCCGCCCACCACGGCTGGGGAACGGGGCCGGTCACCTCCGCGGGTCCATCACGGCCCCCGGCCTTCACAGATCCCCTCACGGGCCCCTCCGTCACAGACCCCCTCACAACCCGCCTTCTCACCCTCCTCACAGATCCCCTCACATCCCCTGCCCCTCACAGATCCCCCCACGGACACTCCCTTCACGCCCCCGCCAGATCCCCTCACAGGCCCCTCCTTCACATCCCCTCACGCTCCCCTCACCCCCTGTCCCTCCCCGGCCGCACCGATCCTGGCGGGCGCATCGCGGCGGCCGCGGGCGGGCGGGCAGAGCGCGGCGAGGAGCAGCAGGAGCGGGCACAGGCCGTGCATGGCGCCGGGCCCGGGCGCAGGACGCGGCGAAGGGCGAGGGGCGGGCCGGGAGCCGGCGCAGGGCCGGAAGCCGCTGGGATGATGAGGAGCCGGGAGGGGGAGTTGTAGCAACTGCGCCGCTGGTGTAGTGGTATCATGCAAGATTCCCATTCTTGCGACCCGGGTTCGATTCCCGGGCGGCGCACTGAGATTTTTAGTCCCTCGACCTGTAATTCTTGACCGAAATACTTGTACTCCCTTCACTCTGAATTCCTTTACTTTCAATTCAATTCTTTTAATTATTTTATTTTTAACTTCTTCATTTTAAATTCCTTCACTTTTAATTCCTTTATTTAACGCCTTCGTTTTTCTTTTCCCACCCTCCACCCTGATACCCCCGTTCCCAGCGACCTGATGTCCCTTTTCTCCCCATTTTTAACCCCTTTACTTTTAACTACTTCACTTTTAACTCCTTCATTTGAAATTCCTCCACTTTAGTTCCTATATTTCAATTCCTTTACTTTTCAATCCCTTCATTTTAACCCCTCTATTTTTAATCATCCCCGCCGTTCCCTGCCGCGCACGCGCAGATTGGCAGCGGGCGGGGCGCGCGCTCCCGCTCCGTTCCCGCGCTCTGTCCGCGCACGCGCGTTCCCGCCCCTCCACCGCTCCCCCCCAGCCCCCTCAGCTCACCCGCCCGCCGCCATCTTGCGAGGAGCTGCCGCGGGACCGTCCGCCGGCGGGGCCGGCGCCGCTCGGGCTGCCCGGGCTGCCCAGGGCTCACGGGGCCGCCCCGGCGGGCGGGAAGAGCCGGGGTGGGCGGCGGCGGCGCCATGGAGGATGAAATGCCCAAGACCCTGTGAGTGGGGAGGGGGCGAGACCGCCTATTGTTCCCGGCTCCGCGGGGAGGGGCGGCCCGGGGTCGCCTCACGGAGGGGCCCCTCAGGCACCGGCGGCGCCGCTGGGGCTCCGCCGCGGGCCCTCAGCTGCCCGCAGTGCTGGGGGAGCGACCCCCACCTGGGGCTAAGGGGTACCCGGCGCCCCCTGCGGTGTTCCTGCCCCTTCCCGGTTCCCAGTGCTGGTCACCACCGTCCTGCCCCGCGATCTGGGTGTTATCCTGGGCCTCCAGCTCACTTCTGGAGGAAAAGGGGGTCTGGAAGATGTGTCCGCCCTCCCCAGTCCATCCTAGCACGTGGCAGGGGACGGAATTGGATGATCAAGGTCCCTTCCACCCCAGACCGTTCCATGATGACGATCCTATCATCCTACATGCTCCATGTGCATTTTATGAGCGTCTGGCTGGATTTTACTATCTCTGGAGCATGTGGCACCACCAGCTCCCAGGGAATGTGGGCACTGCCCTGGGAAACAGCTGGAGCCCCAGTGCCATGATCAGCAGCTCCAAGGAAGTACCCAGGAGGTGCCCATGAATCCATTGTTTGCCCCAGTGTTCAAAGCACGCCTTGAGCCTGTTACTTCCCAAAGAACTAATTATGAAGCTGTGTCGGGGGAGGTTTACATTGGGTATTAGGAAAAGGTGGTGGTGCTGTGGACACCTGACACTTTTCCAGGCACGGGAGAGCTCCTGTGCACCCCTGGTGCTGTTTCCCAGAGCTCCTGTGCACACCTGAGCTGTGTGTTTCCCTCCTTTTCCCAGGCAGGTGTTACCTGGAGTGGTATCCCTCATATAGATCAGGGAAATCAGCCTCCAGTCTTCCCATCTGACCTCTACCAGCTTCATTCTCCAGTGCGGGAGCAAAGGCAGGAGGGAGAGGGAATCATTCCAAGGCGAGGGAACATTGTGCCCTTGGATTGCTGCACCTCCCCTGGGCTTGAGAAACAACTTGGCTGAGTGACCGCAGGAAAACAAGCCCTTGAGGTGCCTCACGGCAGTGACCACTCTGTCTGCTCCTCCAATCCCGTTGTCTTCCCACATTTTGGGAGCTATTCTTGGCATCAGCAAACATGGTCAGACGTGTTGGCGTGTTTTGTGTTTATTTAGGAAGATGTTCCCCCCCCATCCCAATGGTTGTGTGGAGCCTGGTGGGCTCGGTGTGTTCCCGAGGGAATGAGGTCCCTGTCCTGGAGCACGTGCAACCTGTGGCACAGACATGGAATTACTGAGGGTGGAAAAGATCTCCAGGATCACTGAGTCCGACCTTAAACACGGCCGGGTTCTGAGCACAGCTGAGGACTGAGCAGCACCCTGGGATGGGATTCCTATGGCACCTCCCAGTGACTTTCTCAAATCACACAGGGGATTGTCACGAGTTGGGTGTCACAGGGCACGTTTAGAATGAGCAGCTGAAGGCAGAAAGTGCAGCTTAAGGTGATCTTTGCAGCTGGGGGGCCAAAGTGCATGTTAAATCCATGTCTACACGAGGATTTCTGTAGGATTTCTGCTCCAGAAACCCCACCTGGGTGTAGATTTTGGGGCTCCCTCAGTTGTGTGACATCATGAGGGGCCTCCAAAGCCCTCTGCACCCCTGTCCCTGTTCCTTTCCTTCCTTTAGCACATTTCAGACATTTTTCTGGAACAGATTCCAGACGTTATTGGAAGTAACACCTTGGTTTTGCCATTTCCACATAACCCGTGTCTGTGAGGGGGTGTAGATCCTTTAGGAGCTGTTATTCCTTTTATGTAAATGATTTCCTGGAGAGGCAGCTTGTTCTCCCTTCCTTGAAAACCACTCTTCACCAGCAGGTTGCAGATCTGCAGAGTGGTTGCGAGATGGGTTTGAAGTGACTAAGTCCTCTTGTTTGTGTTTTCCATGGAAGTCCGGGGATGCTTGTGGAATATGTGTCCTAATTCAGTTTGTGTGTCTGAAAGAAGTGCTGGCAGTGGTTGGGTTTTACTTCTCAAGAAGCCACACGCAGTGAATGAAGTTGGAAAATACAGTCCTTCATCTGCAGAGAGTCACCAACCAACTCATTAATTGGATTCTCTTCCAATTAGCAGGAAAGAGAAGGATGGGAAAGGTGCAGGAAGAGACAGGACTGAGATCTCCTCCTGTGAGTGCAGAGGTCGGGGTGTGGGCACCCTGTTTGGGGAACTCTCAGTCACAAATTAATTAATTTGGACCCAGAAGGTCACATGAGGCTCAGTTTATTCATTATCCAAAGGATGACAATATTGAAGAAAAAAGAGGAAGGATAAAAGAGGCCTTTCTAGTTCTGGTCTGGTTGACAAGGTGATGATCAGTCAAAGGTTGGACTTCATGAGGTCTTTCTCAAGTAAATGATTCTGTGATTCTGACTCTTGGTTGAACTTGATGTGGGGGATAATGTCCTGGTTAATTACCTTAATGAAGTGCACCAATCCCTCCTTTTTTGAAGGTTTTAGGGCTTAAGGAAACTTGTCAGAAGTGCAGGAATTACTCAGAGCAAGATGATGGCTGTGAAGGTCTGTCTGGGGATTTTAAAATACACTCCTGACTCCCCCCTAAAATAGTTGTCCAAATTATTAACACAGGGCTCCTGTATTTATCACTTCTGGCAGCAAAACAGGCTCTGTGTCTCCTTCCCACAATATCTGCCTAACCAAATATTGGAGCTCATCCCTCTGGCAGGTTCCTGGCCTTGTGTCAACACCAGGAGCACGAGCAGCCCCTGTTGTTGCTGCCTGGTTGTTTTCTTACAACACCTTTACACCTCTTGGCAGCAGGTGGGGGGGTTGCAGGTGCACCCAGGTGGTTTTGGTGGTGGGATTTGTCCAGGATTCCCGTGGCAGAGGTTACCCACAGAACATTCCTTTGCGGGAAGCTGCTGCCACACCTCGGGGGCTGAGGTTTCTCGCTGTGCTTTTTATAAAAATCTCGTGACTTGGGCTTGACAACAACAACAAAAACACCCACCTGTGGTTCATGGGGGTCTGAGAAAGCCAAAATCCCAGATGGGAGCAGGGGTTGGGGTTGTGTTTGTGCACTCGAGCACGTTGGCCTGTGGTCTCACACAGATCTGATGCTTCCAAAACCTGAGGCCTTTGAAAGAAATGGACCAAATGTTGTGTAACAACCTTGACAAACACCAGCCTGAGCTGTTGGGGCAGCTGGGAAATGGTTCCTGGGGAATGATGATGTTCTACAGATACCAGAACTGCCATTTCTGTGTGTGGAAATCAGTTTGGTGGGTTGAGTTCATAGAGTTACAGGGTCATGGAGTTGAGTTGGAAGGGACCTTAAAGATAATCCAATTTATCTCACCCCCCTTTCATGAGCAGGAACACGTTCCACTAGACCAAGCTGCCCCGTTGGACTGACCCTTCCTCTCCAAACATCCCATACAAACCCAAATAAGTTCAATAAACATGAATAAATAATAGAATCATAGAATGGTTGGGTTGGAAGGGACCTTAAAGCCATCCCTGCTCATCCCAGGGGCAGGGACACCTTCCACTCTCCCAGGTTGCTCCAAGCCCTATCCAGCCTGGCCTTGGACACTTCCAGGGATGGGCAGCCACAGCTTCTCTGGGAATTCCATCCCAGCCCCTCCCCACCCTCCCAGGGAAGGATTCCTTCCCAATATCCCATCTAACCCTGCCCTCTGTCAGGGGGAAGCTATCCCCCTTTTCCTGTCCCTGCAGTCCCTTGCCCAGAGCCCTCTGCAGCTCCCAGTGTGACCAACACCCGTGTCTGTGCTGTGTTTGATCCTCAGGTACGTGGGGAACCTGTCCAGGGACGTGACCGAGGCTCTGATCCTCCAGCTGTTCAGCCAGATCGGACCATGCAAAAACTGCAAGATGATCATGGATGTAAGAGCCTGCACTGATTGCCGTGTTCCTCATGGCTCATGGCTTCAGGCCGTACTTGTGTGTCTGGGAATTCCCCTGGAAAAAGGGCACGACCAGTTAAAGGGGTGTAATAGGCCTGGAGGTGCTGCTGTGTGCTTTTGGCATCATTCCTGCCTTGTGCCTGGTGTGAATTTAAGGATGGGTGGACATGGCGAGGGGGAGTGAACAGCTTAAACCATGGGGGGGTTGTAAATGAGATTTAAAAAATTCTCTGCCATAATTTCAACTTTGTAAGGCAGAGCTTTGCCAGTCCCTGAATGTAATCCCTGTGCAAAGAAAAAGCCTCTCCACGTGGGGATGCCGAGGGGTGAGGAATCAGGAGCTGAGCAGAGCAGCCGGAGTGCAGCCTGAGGAGGTTTGCATCCCTGACCCTGGGTTTGCCTGTTGTCTCAGACAGCTGGAAACGATCCCTACTGCTTTGTGGAGTTCTACGAGCACCGGCACGCGGCCGCCGCGCTGGCGGCCATGAACGGCAGGAAGATAATGGGTAAGGTAAGCTGCCCTGGCTGCGGGTGAGTGAGCGGGACAGCAGGCTGGCCCCGGGTGGGGAGGATGGATCCAGGGGCACAATTCCACTGGAGACACACTGGAGCTGTCAGACACTTCGTTGGGACAGAGATTTTAACAGAACGCGACTGGGGAGAGAAGTTCAGACTGTTGTAGGAAGAAGGCAGAGGGAGGTGGGAATGTGGAACTGGGAGGGAGGAACGCCCACAGAATTCCAGAGTGGTTGGGGTTGGAAGGGACCTCTGGAGATGATCCCACCCAGCCCCCCTGCCAAGGCAGGTTTACCCAGAGCAGGTTACACAGGGTGTTGTCTAGGCAGGGGTTGAATGTCTCCAGAGAAGGAGATTCCACAGCCTGTTCCAGGGCTCTGTCACCCTCAAAGGAATGTTTTCCATCGTATTTTCCTCATATTCAGGTGGAAATTCCCACATTTCAGTTCATGCCCGTTGCCTCTTATCCTGTCACTGGGCACCACTGAAGAGAGTCTGTCCCCATCCTCTTGACACTTCCCTGTAAGATATTTGGAAGTCATTCCCCGTGGTCCAAAGTCCCTCTCCAGCTCTTGGAGCCCCTTTAGGCACTGGAAGGGGCTCTGAGGTCTCCACAGAACCTTCTCTTCTCCAGGCTGGACACCCCCAGCTTTTCCAGCCTGTCTCCATGGCAGAGCTGCTCCAGCCCTCAGAATAATCTTAAGAACAAGCCCTCTCCCTAGAAATATGTGTTAAACTTGACCTTTCACCCCAGCCTTGCCCGGGGGGAGCTCTGTAGGGTCAGAATTAAGTGCTGGAGGTGTCTTGAGCTCGGTTGTGAGTTCCAGGATCTAATGATCTTCCATTTGCAGGAGGTCAAAGTGAACTGGGCCACCACCCCCAGCAGCCAGAAGAAGGACACCAGCAGTAAGTACCACTTATGCCTTGAGTTGTACAAGTTCTTAAACATAAATACATCAAATGATGCTTTGTGGGAATGTTTTTATTGTAGTGCTAATTAATGTCTTTGTCTTAATAAACTGAAGAAGAAATCTGATCTTTGCCATCAGGTAGTTCCATTGCCAGCACAGCATTCACAAGGTATCTGTGTCTTCTTAAACATAAGTGGAAATATCTCCAGGGTCTTCACCAACCACCTGAAGCTGTGTTTGGGGATTATTTTTTTTTTGTTCTCCATTTATTTTTTTATGGAAAGGCTTCCCTTGGAATTCCTGTAGGCTGGTGAGGGTAAACCACAGCAGCATCTGAGTGGACTGGAGAGTTTGGTATCTGCTGTAGCACAAATCTGGGGGACACGGTGATTGTGGTGGAAAACTCCTTAGATTCAGGACTGGTTTTCCTCCTTTCATGGCAAACTGTTAAGTTGGGTTGTTTTGATCTGTCCTTTATGACCTGCAGTGTTAACCCAGACATTGTGGGTAGGATCAAAATCCCTCCTGCGTTTCTTGAAGCATTCCAGCATTCCAGCTTATGGGACTTCAAGGAGCAAGTGATCTCCTGCCACATCCAGAGGAGCTAAGGCTGCCCCACCCCTGGAAATGTCCAAGGCCCGGCTGGACAGGGCTTGGAGCAGCCTGGGATAGTGGAAGGTGTCTGTGGCAGGGCATGGGACTGGGTGTTTTAAAGGTCCCTTCCAACCCAAACCATTCCATGATTCCATAATTCTGTGTCACAGCTTAATGCTGGCATAGGAAGAGAAAAATTTTTGTGTAATCTGGACACATTAAGTAAGTAGTTTCAGATTTGTACAGTAAATACTGGCAGGTCTTAAAAGCAGTTGGTAAAATTCAAGATACAAAAGTGGCTGCAGTGTCCTTCAAATCACTGACTTGTAGCACTGCCAAGCACAGAGAACAGCAGTGAATTCTGTGCCACAGCAAACTCTGGTGTTCATGTAGAAGATGTTTGAATATTAATTGATTATTAATTTGGTTTTTTGTGGTATTTATTAGGTATTTTTGTTGTATTTAATAATGTATTTTTAATAATAGCTGGAGTTTTAATAAAGGTTTTCTTAATTTATTTTTTTTTTACTCTACTCTGTACAGAGTTGTTCAACCATTAAGTGCTTCTTTCTCTTTTTCCCCAAAAGACCATTTCCATGTCTTTGTGGGAGACCTCAGTCCAGAGATCACAACTGAAGACATCAAAGCAGCCTTTGCCCCCTTTGGAAGAATATCGTAAGTCCTTTTTTAGGGCACATAATCTCCAAGTTCTCTCTCCCAAGTGGAGGCAGCTTTGTGTGTGAGTAAGTAACACTGTGCAGGGCAGGGACACACACTCCTCTGGTCACACAGCAGCCTCTCACCCGAATCCTTTATCCCAGTTTGTTCTGCTTTCCTGGAACAGTTGTGTCCAGCTTGCTTTGGCTTTATCCTCCTTGCCTCATTTGGCAAAGCAACACTGGAAAATCCAGACTCTTCAACCCGGGGTGTGCATTTCCCTGGCCCTCTCAGCCCAGTTTGCACTCTGGATTTTTGGGGTGCCAGCCACTCATAGCCAATGTTTTTTATGGAGTTAGTCCCCATTTCCCACAAAATGAACCTTTTTTTGAGCACAAGGCTCGCTGGGGCACTGGGGCAGCGTCAGCCCTTGACCCAGGGCCCCACAGATGGGTCAGGGAGCTGAGCTGGTCCCAGCGGGGCAGGGATGGTCCCAGTCCTCCCTGCCAGTCTGTCCTACTCAGGGTGTAGCAGAGAGAGGAGCAGTTCCTTCATTCCGTCCTCCAAACGTAAACCATTAATTTTCCTTGTAGTGTTGTCTGTACTGGACATTGGAGTTTCTTGATGGTGATGTAAGAACATAGAGTGCTTTGGAGTGTTGGGTAGTGAAGCATTTAATTGAAGTAAGTTTGTTTTTTGTTGTTTTTTTTTTACCCCTCAAGAGTCCAGTTTATTCCTCTTTTAATGCCAGCTTGATTTCCTTTTATTAGAAGGTTTAAAATTTATCTGTGTGTGGTCTTGCTTCAGACATCCCCAATGCCTGACTGCAGCTAATGGTCAGCAGGGAGTGCAGAGGGAGGGCTCCAAGGAGGCAGTTCATGCTCTCATCCTCTGGCCAGATGTGCTGGATGGAAGGGATAGGCTGGAATGATGGGAGAAGGAGGCAGGAGCGGGCAGCGAGAGAGAGTTTCCCCCTACCTGGGCATCAGAGGTGACAGCTCAGTGGACACACATTCCATAAATAACCCCCTAAGCTCCCTCCTACCCCTGAATCTGAGGCCAGGCCTGTTGTCCCATCTTTCCTGGAAGAGTTTTTTCCCTGGAAGAGCTATCCCTGTGTGATGGTGGTGATGGGGAGTGGTGCTTGTGCTGCTGACACACAGAACACTTGTGGTTTGCCTTGGCTCAAACTGACCATCCAAGCTGAAACTCAGTTTTTTTCCCAAAAAAGCAGAATTATCCCCTTAATGACTTTTTTGAACTCTTTTTCCAAACTCAGAATGACCCAGATTTTCTTCTTATTTAAGTTTAACCTGGAAAAACAAGTGATTGAATGAAGTGACTTGACTTTACCTGTTCTTTATCAGTGACCAGCCTGTGGAATTGTGCTGCTAATGGAATATTTCCTGATTGATTTCTTTTTATTTTAATCTTTACTGGTGCCAAACTGAGCTTTTTTTCATTAATGACACCGAGGTTGAAGTACTGCATGATTAGCTCAGAAAGAAATTGGGTAATTCTTTGTATCTGGCTTTTTTTAAACAAACACCGTTTCGTTGTGGTTCCTTTTTCACTTGCTCTGTGCATGTTTTCACTTGTTCTCAAGTCTTTATTCCCAAGTTTTCAGTTGAGGGTAAGTAGAGATGAGTTTTTCCCTCATTCCCTCTCTAGACTCAGCTTCCCAAAGCGGCTTTTCTCTGGCAATTTGTAATGTTTGATCCAAGTTCTGACCTAGGAAAGAAAAAAAAAGGGGAAGTGGGGGAGGGTCTAACAGAGAGGAAAGGACAAATATTCCTGCTGTAGCTTTGGGAGAGGGATTTTCATTAGGCACCACTGACACTGTCATGCTGTGGGTGCCATAATTAAACTTAATTAGGCTTACGAACTCCAGGCCTTAACAAACTTTCTCTCCATTGTGGCTTCTCTTTTGAGTCTCATTGCTGTGCCCACATTAACACTGTTTTTTCTCTGCCCCCTCTGACTTCTCCAACCCTAAATTGCATGACTTCCTGAGTGGTTTTGCTGCTGTTTCTGTTTCTTTTCCTGCCTGTCCGTGGTGGGAGGGAGGAGAGGGTGGCCTGGGATGAGGACACCTCACTCTGGGCTGGCTGGGCCCCAAACTGCTGCTGTATCCTCCAGTGGGTTTAGCTCTGGTAGCTGGGTTCTCTTCCTAACTCAATCCCAAATAATAGGGCTCTGGTTATTTTGCAGAGTGTCCCTGAAGAATGGACAGAATTCCATGGCTAACCACAAGCTACAGTTCACAGTGGACAAACGTTGTAGTTTTCTTATTTATTTTTATCAATTTTATTCATTTTTTTCCCTCTTTTTTATATATATTTCGTAGTTCCAATCTCTGTTGTACCAATGCTGTGTAATGTGTAGTTTGTAAAGATATGAATATTGCAGTGTTTTCTTCACTAATTTCTGAAATATCAATCTCTCAAAATTTACAGCTGCCCACAGTCCAAACAGGGGGTAACGACCCAAGAATTAAAGAATTCAGTTAACAGGCGACGTATGCCTTTTAATTCCTATCTTATTTTTTTATTTTTTTTTCCTATTTAATATTTGGAATGAGTAGGTAGAATGTGTTGGCAAATAAATAAAAGTTTAAAAATGGCATGGTTCAAGAGAGCCATTCAGCTCATGTCAGCCTTAAGCCATCTGGAATAGCTGCTTTGACCATGCTTTGTGCCTTAACAGTCTGTGAGAGTGTTTTGAAGCAGGAGCCAGCTGTAGAGTGCAGACATTTGTTAGAGAAGCCATTGATTTACATGTTTACACAATTAAGTTTTAATTTTGCTGCTGCCTGGCAAAGCCTTAGTAAAGTTCTGTGTAGACAAGGAGCCTTTTGCTTTGAGTGTGTTGCTGGTGCAGTGAAGAGCTGAGGATTAGTGGAGGTGAGAGAGGAAAATGACTCAGGGACTCGAGGAGGGGCTGCGCTGGAAGGGGCTGAACTGGCTCTTGTTTGTGCTTTGTAGGGACGCACGGGTGGTCAAGGACATGGCGACAGGGAAGTCCAAGGGATATGGCTTCGTGTCCTTCTTCAATAAATGGGTAAGATCCCTTCCTTTCCTTCTTCAATAAGTGGGTAAGATCCTCTAGTTTCCTTCTTCAATAAAGGGGAAACATCCCTTTGTTCCCTTCCTCAGTAAATGGGTTACATCCCTTCATCTCCTTTGTCAATAAATGGGAAAGATCCCTTCTTCTTCAGTAAATGGCTGAGCTGTGCCATGGTCTTGAGCTTGCCTGGATGATTGTCACTGGAGTGTTCTCAGTCCCAGTCTCTCTTCAGCTTTGGTTTCACTGCCTGTCATGGGGAGAAGCTTCTCTCTATATTTATAAACCCGTATAAATCACAGAATCCCACAATGGTTTGGGTTGGAAGGGACCTTAAAGCCCATCCAGTTCCACCCCTGCCATGGGCAGAGACACCTTCCACTGGACTAGGTTGCTCCCAGCCCTGTCCAGCCTGGCCTTGGACACTGCCAGGGATTTGTCAGTCAGGAGCACGGTGATGTCACTCCCTTGGCTCTCTTGCAGGGGAGGAGTTGCTGACAGAGGGTTTTGTTGTCTCCTCTCCCCCACAGGACGCAGAGAACGCGATCCAGCAGATGGGGGGGCAGTGGCTCGGGGGACGGCAAATCCGCACCAACTGGGCCACGAGGAAACCTCCGGCTCCAAAGAGCACCTATGAGTGTAGGTGCTCAGCTGGGTGCCCTGCCAGCCTCCCGAGTCGGAATCATGGAATGGGTTGGGGCGGAGGGACCTCAGAGCCATCCCATTCCACCCCCTGCCATAGGCAGGGACACCTTCCACTAGCCCGGGTTGCTCCAAGCCCCGTCCACCCTGGCCTTGGACAGTGCCAGGGATATAGGGGCAGCCACAGCTGCTCTGGGAATTCCATTCTCAGCCCCTCACCACCCTCACAGCCAGGAATTCCTTCCCAGTATCCCATCTAACCCTGCTCTCTGGCAGTGGGAAGCCATTCCCCCCTTGTCCTGTCCCTCCATCCCTTGTCCCAAGTCCCTCTCCAGCTCTCTGGGAGCCCCTTTAGTCACTAGAAGGCGCTCTTAAGTCTCTCCACAGAGATTCTCAGTGGGGTGTTTGCAGGTTGTGCTCAACACCTTTTGCCAGTCAGGATTATAATTACCATTCCCCCACCATTGCTGTCGGATCCACTGAAAATCCCTGTCCAATCTCTCCCAGCAAACACCAAACAACTGTCCTACGACGACGTGGTCACCCAGTCCAGCCCCAGCAACTGCACCGTGTACTGTGGGGGGGTTACCTCGGGCCTCACAGGTACGTGGGGTTCCCCCTGTGCCCCCTGTTCCTGTGCCTCTGCGGGTTCCTCACGCCGCTCCCTGTCCTTCCTGCTCCAGAGCAGCTGATGCGCCAGACCTTCTCCCCCTTTGGGCAGATCCTGGAGATCCGAGTGTTCCCGGATAAAGGATACTCCTTCGTGCGGTAGGTGGGCCGAGGGCATGGTGGGTCTGCACGGGTGGGAGTTTGCCAGGCTGCAGAGCCCACCCTGAAGCAGCTCCCTCTGCTCTGAGGAGGGGGTTATGGGCTGTAACACGCAGGAAAAACCCCAGAAAACAGCTGGAACTGTACAGCTGGTGTGTTGTGTCATCTCAGAGGAGTTACTGAAGCACTTTGAGTCTTTCCAAAACCACCATCCCTTTATTGATGAAGCTCCATATAGCAGAAAACATCATAAATTGACTGCTCTCCTTGCTGGATTTTCCAGTGTATTTAGGGAGAATCACAGCATGGGGACAGGAAGAGCAGCCCCAACCCTTTGTCACCCGTGGCCTCACGTCCTGCCACCCGCTGGGGTGGGACAGGGGCAGTTCCAGCTGGTTCTGAGGCCCCAAACCCATCCTGAGCTAGCGAGGGCCCTGGGGGTTATCCCAGCTGTTATTCCCTGAGTGAGTGGCTCGTGTTGTCCCACCTTGATCCCGGCAGGTTCAATTCCCACGAGAGTGCAGCGCACGCCATCGTGTCCGTCAACAGCACCACCATCGAGGGCCACGTCGTGAAGTGCTACTGGGGCAAGGAGACCCCTGACATGGTCAACCCCGTGCAGCAGGTCAGGGCTGCTCCTCTGGGAAGTTCCTTAGTGTCTGCTGGGAATTCCTTAAGGGGCTGGAAAATGTAAATGAACTGGGGGGGCTAAGCCTGGAGAAAAGGAGGCTCAGAGGGGACCTTCTCACTCCCTACAACTTCCTGACAGGAGGGGGGAGCCTGTATCCCTGGCAGTGTCCAAGGCCAGGTTGGAGCAGCCTGGCCTGGTGGAAGGTGTCATTCCCTGATTCCTACCCTGGCTCTTCCCACAGAACCAGCTGAGTTACCCCCCTCCCTACGGGCAGTGGGGGCAGTGGTACGGCGGGGCCCAGCTCGGGCAGTACGTGCCCAACGGGTGGCAGGTGCCCACCTATGGCGTGTACAGCCAGGCCTGGAACCAGCAGGGATTCAGGTGAGTTCGGGGGGGCCTTTAATCTCCTTTTTATCCCCTTGGGAAACAGCTTTGTGACCCTACAACCCCCTCAAAGCTGTTCCACTCCAGGACATGGCGCTTGGGACGGGTGGAGAACAACTCCCCCCCCTCAGTGCCCCAATTCCTCATCAAACCCCCCTTCCCTTATCCCCCCCACATTCCTAAGGGATTCTTCTCTCCCCCCACAGCCAGACCCAGTCGGCAGCAGCCTGGATGGGCCCCAGCTATGGAGTGCAACCCCCCCAGGGCCAGAACGGCGCCGTGGTGCCCCCCCAGCCCGGCTTCCGCGTGGGCTTCGAGACCCCCTGAGCACAGGGACCCCCCAGCACCCCCCACCCGGGTATTTATTACCAGAGCCACAATCCGAGGGGTTGGAATCATGGAAAAAT